GAAGGTCGCCGCAACGGTAATTCAATTTAGTACGAGAGGAACCGTTGATTCAGATAATTGGTTTTTGCGGCTGTCTGACCAGGCAGTGCCGCGACGCTACCATCTGCCGGATTATGGCTGAACGCCTCTAAGTCAGAATCCGTGCCGGAACGCGGCGATTTTGCCCCGCACGTCGTAGTTGGATACGAATAGGCCTCCGGGCCACGCACCTCAGCAGGCTGGCGACGGCTCCCGGGGAGAAACCCCCGAGGGCTGGCTGGCGGATTGCAATGTCACCTCGCGCGGGGATAGATCCTCTGCAGACGACTGAAGTGACCAAGCGGGTCGTGTACGCGGTCAAGTAGCCTTGTTGCTACGAGTCGCTGAGCGTCAGCCCGACCTTGGCTAGATTTGTTGGTTAATACCTCCCCATCAAGGGGCCCGGCAGTGCCGGGTGCTTGGAGGGGGCGGTGGACGGCCGGGCCTCACGGGGCCCGCGTCGCGCCGTCGGGACCACTCGCCAGTCGACGGTAGAGGACTTGCGGGAGGGCCCGCGGGCGGTTTTGGACACATCCAGAGTCGACCAGTTAGTGCAGGGCCCTTGGCGGGCCGAAGGGTCGAGGGGGCCCAGAGGGCGTTTTTCGACACAGGTAAGTTTTTGGACATACTCAAATCTCGCCAGTTGGTGGTCGGTGATATTTGGACACACCCAAATCTGGCCAGTTGGTGGAATGTTTTGGGCACACCCAAGTCTGACCAGTTGCTGGTGGGCCTACAGCTACTCAGTCCCCGGGCCCCTGCGAGTGCCGGGAGAGCCGTTTTGGACCTGCTCAGACTCTTTGGACATACCCAAATCTGGCCAGTTGGTGGAATCTTTTGGGGGCACCCAAATCCGACCCGTTGGCGATGGGGCGCTGGTCCCCTTCTACCCCCGCCCTGCCGGCTGTGGCCCGCCACGGGGGGCGCCGGGTGAGCCATTTGGGACACAGGCAAATTTTTCGACATGGGCTAATTCTTGGACATACCTAAACTTTTGAACACACCCAAATCTGGCCAGTTGGCGGCCCGGATTTTTGGACACACCCAACTTTGACCAGTTGGTGGACCATGATTTTTGGACATACCCAAATCTGGCCAGTTGGTGCATCCCGGCTACCAACCTGGAGTGCCCGTTCGTCAACACTTTTACGATCCCGCGTAGAGGCTTCGGCACCCTCTGAGTGAGACGTGATGGGCAAATTGGGTGGGTGGTCACGTGAAGTTGGGCGAATTTTGACCAAGTCCCTTAAATTGCGTTACGGGACTAACAGGGTGGCCCACTTTGTATGGGAAAAATGCCGTGCACGGACCACTTACATAGTAAAGGATGTCCCCAGGAAGATCTTTTGAACACTTTAAGGCTTGCTGGCCATTTCCCCACCCAACTGGGGTCGGAGAGTATATAGTGAGGCAAGAAGCCACCGGGCCAACGGCGCCCGGCTAAGAGGTTGACTGCGGCGGTACACCATGCGCGGCGGGCGAGGGATCAATGGGACGGTCAGACGTGACGGCCCGGGCCAAGCGGGAGGCCCGAGGGCAGGAGCGTGCTGGAGTCCCCTCCTCTCGTGCCGGCGTGTTCGGTGTGCGGCAGCGGCGCTCTAGCCGGGGCGGCGTTGGAACGGTGGGTGCCGGCCAGCCAGCCCAGACGGGCGGGCGGCGAGGCCCCGGCCTGGGGAGACCGGCCAGTTGCCGGTTGGGAGGAGGGCAGCGCGGGCGAGGGGCGCACGGGGGCGCGGGGAGGAGGGGGTGGTGGTAGGAGGGTTTTCGACATAGGTAAATTTCAGGACACAACCCAAATCTGACCAGTTGGCGGTGGGCCCCTCGAGGGGCGACCCGCCCCGGGACTGGTAGCTAGGGGTCCGGGAGGGGCAAACGGGGGGGTTGGCGCCGCTCGGGGTCGAGCAGTAAGAGAGATGACCGTGGGACCAGATATATATCTTGGAAGATGGGGGGTACCCCTCGGGTCCTCCTCACCATCCTTCCCACCAAAGATATATATCCACCATGATGGACCCCGATTGCGGCCCCGACCCCCCAGCAGCGGGGTAGATGGCCTAAACAGGCGGGAGAGGGCGAGGGGACGGCAGCACCGGGGCGGGAGGGGCCCGGGAGGGGCCCGGGGGGCGTTTTCGAGAGACCTAAGAATTATGGACATACCCAAATTTGACCAGTTGGTGGACCATGATTTTTGGACATACCCAAATTTGACCAGTTGGCGGTGGGCCTGCGCTGCCCACCCCTCTCCTAGGTCCCCCGTGGCCTCCCCGCCCATCTGCTTTTCAGCATGCAAAGTGACTGTTTGCGGCCTTCTGGTCAATTTCTCAGTAGGGTGAGAACGGCGATGATGCGGACGTGGTGGGCGGATTTGGTGGAGGGTCACGTGAAATTGGCCGAAAAACGACCAAGTCCCTTAAATTGCGTTACGGGACTAACAGGGTGGCCCACTTTGTATGGGAAAAATGCCGTGCACGGACCACTTACATAGTAAAGGATGTCCCCAGGAAAACTTTTTGTACACTTTAAGGCTTGCTGGCCATTTCCCCGCCCAACTGGGGTCGGAGAGTATGTGTAAGAAGAGGTGGTTCCGCCCGCCTCTTCTCACAACATCTTCCATACTCTGCCGTCAGCCTCGCCAGGTGTTGGGTCTTTTCCTCAACACCGGGGGTGGGATTCACGCTACGGTCGCGCTCCCTTCGGGGGATGCGCCCGTGGCCTCTGAAGCCCTGGGATCCCTGGATCCCCGGCAATGCCGAAGTCTGTGGGCTCTTGGCCGCTGGCCAGCAGACCCGTCCTTTGGTAGTAACCCGGGGGAAGCCGCCCTGCGTCATACGCCGTTCGCCGGCGGTCGCGCGGGGGTCGGGCCCCCCTTCCGAGGGCCGTATGCCGCAGCCCGTCCCTGCCCGTCCGGGCGGTGGGCGGAATCTCTGCGTGCGGACCGGCGCTGAGGAGCCTAGAGGGGGCAATTTGATGGCCGCTCGCGCCCCCCCGGTACGCCGGGGGCGGTTGCGCCGGTCGGGCGCCCCGTGCGCCCCTTCCGTTTAACTAAACTCTGCTCCTTCGGGGGTGGTGGGCCCTCCCGAGTCGCGCCGGCAGCCGCCGGCCGGCCCGGGGGACCGCCCGCTAGTGAAGTTATCTGGTTGATTCTGCCAGTAGTCATATGCTTGTCTCAAAGATTAAGCCATGCATGTCTAAGTATAAGCACTTTATACTGTGAAACTGCGAATGGCTCATTAAATCAGTTATCGTTTATTTGATAGTACCTTACTACATGGATACCTGTGGTAATTCTAGAGCTAATACATGCTAAAAACCCCGACTTCAGGAAGGGGTGTATTTATTAGATAAAAAACCAACGCCCTTCGGGGCTCCTTGGTGAATCATAATAACTTAACGAATCGCATGGCCTTGCGCCGGCGATGGTTCATTCAAATTTCTGCCCTATCAACTTTCGATGGTAGGATAGTGGCCTACCATGGTGGCAACGGGTAACGGGGAATTAGGGTTCGATTCCGGAGAGGGAGCCTGAGAAACGGCTACCACATCCAAGGAAGGCAGCAGGCGCGCAAATTACCCAATCCCGATACGGGGAGGTAGTGACAATAAATACTGATACGGGGCTCTTTTGGGTCTCGTAATTGGAATGAGAACAATTTAAATCCCTTAACGAGGAACAATTGGAGGGCAAGTCTGGTGCCAGCAGCCGCGGTAATTCCAGCTCCAATAGCGTATATTAAAGTTGTTGCAGTTAAAAAGCTCGTAGTTGAACCTTGGGTCTGGCTGGCCGGTCCGCCTCACCGCGAGTACTGGTCCGGCTGGACCTTTCCTTCTGGGGAACCTCATGGCCTTCACTGGCTGTGGGGGGAACCAGGACTTTTACTGTGAAAAAATTAGAGTGTTCAAAGCAGGCCTTTGCTCGAATACATTAGCATGGAATAATAGAATAGGACGTGTGGTTCTATTTTGTTGGTTTCTAGGACCGCCGTAATGATTAATAGGGATAGTCGGGGGCGTCAGTATTCAGCTGTCAGAGGTGAAATTCTTGGATTTGCTGAAGACTAACTACTGCGAAAGCATTCGCCAAGGATGTTTTCATTAATCAGGGAACGAAAGTTAGGGGATCGAAGACGATCAGATACCGTCGTAGTCTTAACCATAAACTATGCCGACTAGGGATCGGACGGGATTCTATGATGACCCGTTCGGCACCTTACGAGAAATCAAAGTTTTTGGGTTCTGGGGGGAGTATGGTCGCAAGGCTGAAACTTAAAGAAATTGACGGAAGGGCACCACAAGGCGTGGAGCCTGCGGCTTAATTTGACTCAACACGGGGAAACTCACCAGGTCCAGACAAAATAAGGATTGACAGATTGAGAGCTCTTTCTTGATCTTTTGGATGGTGGTGCATGGCCGTTCTTAGTTGGTGGAGTGATTTGTCTGCTTAATTGCGATAACGAACGAGACCTCGGCCCTTAAATAGCCCGGTCCGCATTTGCGGGCCGCTGGCTTCTTAGGGGGACTATCGGCTCAAGCCGATGGAAGTGCGCGGCAATAACAGGTCTGTGATGCCCTTAGATGTTCTGGGCCGCACGCGCGCTACACTGACAGGGCCAGCGAGTACATCACCTTGGCCGAGAGGTCTGGGTAATCTTGTTAAACCCTGTCGTGCTGGGGATAGAGCATTGCAATTATTGCTCTTCAACGAGGAATGCCTAGTAGGCACGAGTCATCAGCTCGTGCCGATTACGTCCCTGCCCTTTGTACACACCGCCCGTCGCTACTACCGATTGAATGGCTCAGTGAGGCCTTCGGACTGGCTCAGGAGGGTTGGCAACGACCCCCCAGAGCCGGAAAGTTGGTCAAACTCGGTCATTTAGAGGAAGTAAAAGTCGTAACAAGGTTTCCCCGCCATAAGTCATGCGCGATTGGAACGCTAATGCGTCCTTCCGCAGTGTACACTTATTGAAGCCTTTGCAGCCCCGCAAGGGGTAGGCCCGGCACGACTCTAAACCAGCCCGGGCCGCTATGCAAGTCGGCGCCCCCGCCCCCCTCCCGGGGGGCAGGCGCCGGCGACACTCTCGAATTGACGGGGACACCCTAAAGCCAATCGCACCAACCCGCGGCGGGAAACCGCCCGGGGGCCCGTGGTAACGACACGGGGGATGGTAATAGACGATTTGGATACCGCCCGCGCTTCGGCGCGGCGACCATGGGCAATCCGCAGCGAAGCCCCTAAGTCCCCCTCGGGGGATATGGGGAACGTCCACAGACTAAGTGGAAGTGGGTGGGACGCCAGCCGTCCCGCTTAAGATATAGTCGGGCCCCCCGGGAGACCGGAGGGGGTGAGTACACTGCTCCTTAACCGTTCCGTAGGTGAACCTGCGGAAGGATCATTACCGAGTGAGGGCCCTCTGGGTCCAACCTCCCACCCGTGTTTATTCTACCTTGTTGCTTCGGCGGGCCCGCCTCACGGCCGCCGGGGGGCACCCGCCCCCGGGCCCGCGCCCGCCGAAGACACCATTGAACTCTGTCTGAAGATTGCAGTCTGAGCAGATTAGCTAAATCAGTTAAAACTTTCAACAACGGATCTCTTGGTTCCGGCATCGATGAAGAACGCAGCGAAATGCGATAAGTAATGTGAATTGCAGAATTCAGTGAATCATCGAGTCTTTGAACGCACATTGCGCCCCCTGGTATTCCGGGGGGCATGCCTGTCCGAGCGTCATTGCTGCCCTCAAGCACGGCTTGTGTGTTGGGCTTCGCCCCCCGGCTCCCGGGGGGCGGGGGCCCGAAAGGCAGCGGCGGCACCGCGTCCGGTCCTCGAGCGTATGGGGCTTCGTCACCCGCTCTGTAGGCCCGGCCGGCGCCCGCCGGCGACCCCAATCAATCTTTTCAGGTTGACCTCGGATCAGGTAGGGATACCCGCTGAACTTAAGCATATCAATAAGCGGAGGAAAAGAAACCAACAGGGATTGCCTCAGTAACGGCGAGTGAAGCGGCAAGAGCTCAAATTTGAAAGCTGGCTCCTTCGGGGTCCGCATTGTAATTTGCAGAGGATGCTTCGGGAGTGGCCCCCATCTAAGTGCCCTGGAACGGGCCGTCATAGAGGGTGAGAATCCCGTCTGGGATGGGGTGTCCACGCCCGTGTGAAGCTCCTTCGACGAGTCGAGTTGTTTGGGAATGCAGCTCTAAATGGGTGGTAAATTTCATCTAAAGCTAAATACTGGCCGGAGACCGATAGCGCACAAGTAGAGTGATCGAAAGATGAAAAGCACTTTGAAAAGAGAGTTAAACAGCACGTGAAATTGTTGAAAGGGAAGCGCTTGCGACCAGACTCGCCCACGGGGTTCAGCCGGCATTCGTGCCGGTGTACTTCCCCGCGGGCGGGCCAGCGTCGGTTTGGGCGGCCGGTCAAAGGCCCTCGGAATGTAACGCCCCCCGGGGCGTCTTATAGCCGAGGGTGCCATGCGGCCAGCCCGGACCGAGGAACGCGCTTCGGCTCGGACGCTGGCATAATGGTCGTAAGCGACCCGTCTTGAAACACGGACCAAGGAGTCTAACATCTACGCGAGTGTTCGGGTGTCAAACCCGTGCGCGCAGTGAAAGCGAACGGAGGTGGGAACCCCTCGGGGTGCACCATCGACCGATCCTGATGTCTTCGGATGGATTTGAGTAAGAGCGTAGCTGTTGGGACCCGAAAGATGGTGAACTATGCCTGAATAGGGCGAAGCCAGAGGAAACTCTGGTGGAGGCTCGCAGCGGTTCTGACGTGCA